GAATTTCCCCCACTACCAGGAAAACTGCAGTGAGTAACTCACCTCCCGACTACCATTTGCAAGGCATAAGTCTTGAGTGTGATGGATTACTCCTCACTTGCCTGGATAGGTGCAGCTCCACCACCACCATCCAGGACAAAATAACCTGCTTGATTGGTTAAGCACATCCATAAGCACCCACTCCCTCCACCTACACTCAGTACAGACTGTTGCTACTATCTCCAAGATGCCTTGCAGAAATTTGCCAAATGTCCTTAGACAGTACCTTCCAAACCTACAACCACTTCCATCCGGAAGGACAAGAGCAGCAGATACATGGGACCACCACGACCTTTACGGTCCCCTCCAAGCAACTCACCATCCTATCACTGATCTTTCACTGTGGTGTCCCTACACCCTGTAGTACTGCAGTGCAGGAAGCCAGCTCACCATACCTACTGAAGGGTAATATGGACCTCAACAAGTTTTTTTTTTAAAATTATGGGCAATAAATGCTGAACTTGCCTGTGATGCTTGCATCCTATGCAAGAACTTCTTAAAACAAATAAGCTGCTTCAATAACAAACAAAAATTAAAATTTAGGTTCTCCAGTAGTTCAGGTGTATTATAGAACAATACACAATTGAAATATTACCCAAGTAAGTTTCCAGGTATATGGCTGATCCTTGCGAGGCAGTTTTTTTTTTGTAAAAATTCAAACTCCAGCCAGAACCAGAGGTAATAATTGGCCTCAGTCACCCTGCAGAGTAGAAAGATATCTCGCTGCTACTTATCAAAAGCATTTGCACGTGGAAGCGGTTGGGCGATCCTCTGCTAAGTGAAAAGCCTGCTTCTGATGTGAACCTGAACAGGGAACAATTAGCCATGCTATGGGAATGGTAGGAAAACGGTTACATTATCGAAGTACTAATCCTGGCTAATCTGCACACAGTGTCAAATCCAAATTCCACAGGGGAATTTGAATTCAGTTGAATTAAACAAGAAGTTAGGATCAGTAAATGTGCAACTTAACCAGATTGTATTGAAGAACCAGTTTAATTGACTAATGTCTGCTGCTCTCAGTAATCTGGTTTGTGGGGGATGTCAGGCACACAGCAACATGATCGACTTTTCAAACTGCTCTCCGAAATGGCTAACCCAAGCCACGCGTCAAGGTGATCATCACCTTCCAAGGCTAATTGGATATGGGCAATAAAATGTAGGCATTGCTGGCCAGGCCAACAGCCCATTAATAATTTGTAAATGTTTACTGAAACTGGAAAATTCAGATTCAGAATAACTTTTCCTCAGTATCATCCCACAAAGCAACTGGAAGAGCAACAAAAATGATATTTCTAAGTGTAAAGGGATGAGTTACAAAATTAGAATTCAAGTTGCATGGTAGTTGGTGATGAGACAAAAGCTATGTAAGATAAAGATGAAAAATAAACCAAAAACAGCAGATGCTGAAGATCTGAAGCAAAAACTGAAATTGCAGGAGAAACTCAGCATATCTGGCAGCATCTGTGGAGAGAAAACAAAGTTAATGTTTCAAGTCTAATGACCCTTCTTCAGATAAAGATGACCAATAGTTCTTGCACTGTACACATTAAAATCAATATTATGCACATACAAGTATAGCACATTCTCTTTTGTTCAGATTGCAATCATGTGAAGGTGTTTCTCTTCTTGCAAAGTTTTCATACATTAGGTTTTGACAATTACCGGACACCTTCTTTCAATGGTCTTGCTTTCAGAATTCTCGTACGATCAGCATTTGCTCATTCTTGTTCCATTGCACCACCTGATCATTTTATATATTATACATTTAGCAATCACAGTTAACACAGAGAAAAATAAGATATGGATCAAGGAAATGGACAATCAGCCCTACTGTAAAAAATGCATGACAGAAGGTTAGGGGAATCACGGAATGCAAAATAGGGAAGGGCTGGTGCGATTTAGAGAAAAACATTCCGCATGGTAAAAATAATGTGTCTGCAGAACCTGCTGCCAGCATTCAAATGAAGGTAAGTGTGCCCAGTTGGGTAGAGGAGACAATGTTTGAAACATTCAAAGATGTTTTACTTTCAGTATATTGGGGGACAGCCAGTGTAAATCAGTGTCTGGCAGACCGAGGTGATGGTACATTTTAAACAAATTAAGCTTAGAATAGAGAACAGAATGGTTATGTTTCTAGACTAGCAATCCACCAGGCCTAGACTAGATATGGAAAAACTAGTAAAGTATTAATCCTACAACAGGAAATTTTAATTTAGCAAATTCAGCAAATTAGTATCAGTACTGATGAGCATGAATTTACCAGATGGGGGTCATTAAATATCAACTGGTTCATTAATTCCCTTAAAGGGAACTTCTTTCACATGTTTTTTGGTAGACGTGAACTGATGTGGTTGATTCTCAAGTGCCCTCTGAAAAAGTCTAAAATTTTACCAAAACAAATACAAAGAACCAATTTACATAGACTGCAGCAATTCAGCTGAAGGGAGCTAGGATAGCAACGAAAGGCTGATCTTATCAGTAATGCCAACATCCTTCAAATAGATTGGAAGTGATGGGGTTAGGGTGCAGGCAGATACTATATGTAAAGATGGATTAGACAGGTTGGGATTTCCATACAGCCGGTGGGTGCATTTTTAGCTTTGTATAGTTCCAGATTCCTGTTTACTCCTGTGCATTCTTCTTGGCAAGACAAAAGGCAGCAGTGGAATTGGAAAACTGTACACTTGCCCGATGACTGCATCTATAAAAAGAGTACTCAAGAAGCTTGACACCATACAGGATAAAAAGCCCACTTGATGATACCCGCCATTCACCACTTCCAGCATGCAAATCCTTCACCACTGACAGACAATAGTAGCATTGTGCACCATTACCAAGACACAGTGAAGCAACTAATCAAGACACCTTTGACAGCACCTTCCAAATGCACGCACACACTACCACTTAGAGCAAGGACAGCAAATGCATGGGAGCAACATCACCCGCAACTTTTCCTTCAAGTCACATATCAAATGTGATTTTGAACAATATTGCTATTCCTTTAATGCCATTGGGTCAAAAACCTGCACTCTTTTGAACAGCATTATGACAAGACTATAAAATTATAGCAATTCAAGGCAGCAGCTCCCCACATCTTTAAGAAATGGGCAATAAACGCTAACCTAACCAATGATGTCACCTTCAACAAATAAAAAGCTATAATTACCTCCCACTTGCTGTCAGCCCTAGTAATCGTCAATACTGCCCCTCCTCACTGGTTAGCAGAATTTGCCTCCACCTGATCCTCATGGGTCATTCATCTGGTCACCACTTCCCTCCCCGAACCACCACTACAAGCAAGGGTTCCGGAGATAAATGGCCAGAAGCAGGTACAGAAACTTCAATTTTTAGGTGTCGAGTAACAGACCATTGTGTCAGCAGGAGGATCAAGGTGCAGAAGAAACAGGAAGCAACAACAGAAGTGTGTCAAAAGTTGGCAGAGAAATGGGGTCAGGGAATAGCAAAGGCCACATGGCCCCACATCAGACCCAGCACAAAATCCTTGCGAGTGATAAATTAATTTATCCCTCTAAAGCAAAATGACTTATAATAGGTAACATTAAGCCCCCTTTTATGTAGGAATTTTAAAAAATATTTATTCATTAGATGAGGTACAGACTCAACAGAAATTAAACGAGGAGGATAAAGTGAAACAATTTAAATGCTTTGTGCTTTTCTCTCATGCCATCGTTACTTCTGGTGCGTTTTCCAACTTGAGAAGGCCAGATGGTTTCATGATGCACCAAACTGTGTAATGAATTAATGGATAACATGCATGAATGGATTAACTTTCTGACTTCAGCTTGCCCTAACATATAAACCAAGCAAATCCCTTGGCAGAACAAGAAGAGCATTTTCAATGATCCAGGTTCTCGATTGAGACACATCCCTTAGAATGATGTTGATATTAAACACTAGAAGAACTTCTGAATAAAGTCAAGCACACTGTAAAAAGTTTCAATATCTTTCTAACAGACATTTAGATTTAGGATTACATTCCTTCACTTCCTGTCCCTTTAAAATTACCGTTAATCTATTTTTGTGGGCTGATCATGGAACAATAAATGCCATAGGGTTTGTACTAGGATTTAAATAAATAGTTAAGTGCTACATTAGAAAACAAATTAACAAACTGAACACAGACTTCCACTGTTACGCCAAACCCATACCACAGTTTGCCTTTACAAAACAAAAAAATGTTGATGAGTAATCAGAAGTAAAAATACTGATCAATTTTTGTTGAGGAATTTCGACAAGATGCTTCAGTTTGACCGACTGATGAGATGCAGTAACATGTTAGCAACTGAATTATATAAAATGCTAAAGGGAATTGACAAATTAGATGTAGAGTGGATGTTTCCCCATGGGGAAATCCAGAACGAGTAGTCATAGTTTTAGGCTAAGGGATGACAGATTTAAGAGAGATGAGGAGGAATTACTTCTCTCAAAGGGTCATGAATCTGTAAAATTCACTACCCCAAAAGTGCGGTGGATGCCAGGTTACTGAATAAATTTGAGATGACAAATTTTTAATTAGCAATGGGTTAAAGGGTTTGGGGAGCAGGCAGGAAAGTAGAGTTGAAGATGAGATCAGCCATTATTATATAAAATGGCAGAGCAATACACATACACACACTGAATGGGAACAGGCTGACTGAAACTGAATATCCTTGGACGCATAGATAGAGTTGCCGCCAGATTGTCTGAACAATGAACACATGGGACAAATTCTGCAAGGCAGTAGTGCCAAGTGACCCATGGAAACTTAATTAAAACAAAACAATATTCCACATGTAACGCTCACACCCACCTCTCCATCTGTTATACAGAAGGGTAGAGTTTATATGCAGTTTGTCATTTTCATATAAATGAAAAATTCCAGCTTTTCACTTCAAATACTTCTACTTGCTTACTTGATTGGAATTTTCTTTTAAAAAACTGAACAGATAGCATCTGTGTTGGTGAAATAAATGTCTAATTTAATTTTACCACAGTTTACAGAAATATTTCCAAGCAAATCTTCATGTTTATAGTAGCAATATGCAAAAGCTTTATACAAAATTTTGCAATACAATAGCTTTATAGCTAATGAGGACAACTCCAGCATATTCAAGAACAAATTACACGGTTTAAAACATCTTCCCTGTGCTCAATTTTAAAAAAATGTAAAGGTTTTGCCTCTCTTTCAAGCACCTCTCTGATAGATATACTCAGAGCCAAGAGAGTGGAAAGTGACTTAATGGCAAGAACATGACGGGATCATCCAAGGAGAATAAACCTGCCAAAATTGCTTTGATGCACATGAGGAAGCACCAGATTAGCTACCAACAAAACTGCATCCTTGCATTTTCAACAGCAAACAGTCACTGGCCCTTTTGAAAAAAAGAACATTGTTCATATGAAACCATACAAAATGTTAAATACCATAGGGATACAAAGTAATAAGATTACCAGAAGGAATGAAACTACAGAAGCTTGCTGGGTACAGGATTTACAGCAATATGATTAGCTCTGAAAATACCAGAGATTAAAATCACATTAACAGTTTCATTTAATTACTATAGGTATATATACACACATACACATTAAATATAATTTATTGCAAGGACATGTGAAACATCACATTTAATGTGCCAGAAATCATTTACTACTTTTTAGGCAGTGCCAAAACTCAAGTACTGCTGCACATTAGAACTTGCATATGTTTCATAATTCAAATTTAAGACAGTTATACTGCATGAGACTCCTAATATTGCAGAAGTTATGGCCATGATGTTGTACATGATCAGCTGTCACTATGATGATCATGTGATCCAAAAGCTCAATACTAAAAGCTACAGGTGTCAAGCAGAGTACAACTCAGAACGTTCTCAGGAGTCAAGATGCAAAGATATTTTCTGAATATACTTTTGGATTCTATATTAAACTCAGATACTCAGACCAACATGAATTCCAACACTATTGTTATGTTTTTATAAACTTGAGTAATTGCACATATTCATTGCTCAAAGCTATGGACCTGCAGAAGAATTACTATTCACCTCAAGCCATTTGTATTTTACTGTCTTTTTTGGGTGGGGAGAGGGTGTTCAAATAAAACATGAAGTCCATAATCTACTGAACAAAGCTATTGGAAAATGTTGAATTTAAACAACCAAGGAAATACAGAAAAGAAACAGCTAATTTCACTATGTCACACTAACGAAACATCCGTCCATAAATAAAAAAGTTAAAAAGCAACATGCAAACAGTGGAAAAATGAACACTGGTAAAACACAGCAGGCAAAACAGAATTTGGGAGATCAAAAAAGTCTAGTTAGTATTTCATAATCCTACCACAATGAAAAACCCTCCAGATTTCACAAACTACTGGTTCCCTTCTACTGTATCCTGTCCACAATATTTATTTTCAGACTGGATAGAAATTCTGCATTAACAAGGTTGTGTTAAAAATCTCAGGACATATCCCAAATTCAAGTCTCAAGTTTAAGAGCTTTGCCAAAACAACCCTATGCTAGCTGCAAGATGTTATAGTCCATGACTCTCAAAAATAAAAGCTTACTTCACAAGATGATGATTTTCGTACTTAATTTAATTATTTAACTTTCCATCAGGACTAACCGTCAAAGTTGAGGTACTCACTCGAAACTTAGGAGTTGCAAATTGATAGTGTAATTTGAAAACAACCATAGCAGTTTAAGTACAGAATATGTACTTAAAGGGCACTATAGAATGTTGCATCTTTGTATAATTACTGGAATTAAAATTGTATTTTGCAGATAACTTCACTAACAATTCCATTAAGACTAATTTTCCAATTGCCACATTTAAAAATTGCAAAATCCTCTATAATCAGAAAGTTGCATTTCTCCTGCCCGTTAACAATTCTCTGCAACTGGCCAGCATCATTTCTTGATGATCTTGCCAAGTCATTTAAGAAAGGAGGAACCACTTCTCCTTCCCTCTCCAGTTCGGATTTATGGAAGAATTGCACATGAATGGTGTGAGATTCTGATCCTGACTGTAAACTGGAACCTCAATTCAGTACTTCAGATCATTCAAAATTTTTCAGGCATGGTAAAAGCCTAGCGGCGCTTTTTTTTTTAAAAAAACAAGTTGTGTGCAATTTATTGTTTTAAACCTCCTCCCAAAAAATTCCATCTTCCAGGGGCTGTAGTGGTTTCAAATATTTAACGCGATGAATCAGAGATTCTCAGCTTTTGCATAGTAAATAATACTTTCCTGGTTGTGGCAGAAATGTTTCTTTGGCACATCAAAACACCCTAATGATAGAAGCAAATGTATTCAAAGCTGCAGACCACATCTCACTACAATACATTTTCTGGAGCTTTTATACTTCAAAATGCTGATGGAGAAAGGGGCAACATGAACAAAAAACATTAAAATTCGTATGCGAGAGTGCATTTAATAGTATTTCAAACTTGGCAAGTTTAAGATTCCTTGACAGAATATTGAAAGAAAATACAAAAAAAACTGAAATCACCCCATTGTATTCACAAAGGATATCTCAAGAACATTCTGAAGAATAATTTGTTCTGAATTGAAACCAGGTTTTGAACTATACAAATATACAATCTAGTAACAGTGATATACTTCCAATTAAAATTCAAGAGCAATTGAAAGAAAGTGGTTTAGATTACCACAGAAAATCAACTGGCTCAATTCTTAAAAGCACAATGCCACAGATGCTGAAACTCTCTGGAAAACGAGAGAGAGAAAGAGATTTGATGATTCAAGTTGATGACAGCTATGATGAAATGTCAGCGGCTTGAAAGGTTAACTCTGTTTCTCTTTCCAGATGCTGGTTGACCCAGCCGAACATATAGCATCATCAGATTTTAGCTTGGTTTTTCTGTAAAGCTAACCATATGATTCATACAAGGAGATTCTGTTCTTCACATGTTGACATCCATTTTGATGAAATGCTGAATTGCATCTTCAGTTTGTGAGCACCTAGTCTAATTTTGGATGGAATCTGAAGTGAAATCAGCCATACTGACACTTGGCCCCAACATCTTGTGGCTACCACTGTGTTCATGTTCCCAGACAACTTGCAAAGCCCTACTGAAGAGAAATTCCAGTACATTCAATAAGTTTTAAATGCAGTTGGCACATGACCAAGAGAAATATCATCATGCAGCCAGGGATGAGTTCAAAATCTGAAGACTGTTTGATAATGAGGACAAAAAAGTCTTTACTTCCTCAAGAATATATGCAGAAATAACCACCACCATGACCAATGATACCTGAGCATGAAGATTTCTTTGTCAGCCTGTAATCAAGTTCACATCTCTGCATAGAGACCCAGAAAACCTGGGAATCCACTTTCTGCATTGTTTGTCACTGATTTCTCAGTCAATTTAAGGAATGCCAATTTATTTCTTTCTTCAGTCATCAATTGTAGGCAGCCAAAATGCCTGTGAAGAAAATCAAAACAATTATAGAGACTTTCAACCAACTAAAAACACTATTACACCAAAGTGAACAAAATCACTCGTCTACATTCCAATTCTACACCAAACATGCTGCTGGCAGCATCCATGTCAAAGGTTTTGAAATATTGTCCAATGGTGCGCAAAAAAAAAAAAGATTGATACATCTAGACCCTCTACTCAAATTTCGGAAAAAGTGTTTTATAACAAAAAGGGAAAAAACTGTGCCGTTATGCAGAAAATGAGTTTAACATACAGCAGAGGTAAGTACCAGAAAGCCACTGAACAATTAATAAAACAGATCATTGAAGGCAGGAATACAGAAATACTTTAGGACCTTAGCAAACTTCTGGTGAAGGTCAGAGGATAGGGGACCAAAGCTGAAAACCAATTTTCTAAATCTATCCACATTTGACTTGTTAACTTTATCAGCAAACAGTGCAATGCAAAGCATTTACTACATAAAAGTAGTTAATTTACATAGGATGCTCAATTCTTCTGTTTGTAAATTGGTGTTCTTGCTGTAGTTTGCCAGAGGGCAATAAAGTATGCAAACTGCCTAAAATAATACATCTTAATGCAAATTTACCGTTGAAATGCAAAAATTTCTGATGGCCTCACAGCAGCTTGTTCATCATCTTCTCAGGTTGCTAGCGTTTAAAACGATAGGGAAGAGACAGGGGAAGATTACTTGTTCTGCTTTGGCAACTGGCTGATTGGGCCATGCAGCAAGTGTGTTCCTCAGTGTGAACCCCATTCTAGTAGACTGGGGAGAATCCAGATATTTGCTGAGTTAGCTGACCTTTACTGGATCAATAACTGAGGTACTCTCAAAAGAGCAGGGATAATCTTAAATCTTAAAACTCCACAGTAGAAATTCTGGCAACCATTTGTTTCCTCACAAATTGCTTTGTATACGTACCATGTTTGAACATGCACTGGCAAATGTCATAAATTTGGGATTAAACTGGAGGCAAGAGACAGGACCTGTATGCTTTCCATCCAAAACAGCCACCTTTAACCCACTTTCTGCATTCCACACGTGGACTTTACCATCCTCAGATCCTGAAAGCCAAAACACACAAATTGCACAGTAATACAGTTTCATTAATTTCACACTGACAAAGTTAATAACCAACATTCTTTCTTAAACTCAAAACAAAAAAATCTGTAGTGACCTAGGTGAGTTTGGAGACATTGAGATCTATTAAACACTCAATGCAATCAATTTATCTTTTGCTGTAAGGTGTAATTTGCAATTATTAAATAGAGTTGTGTGGAGACCCTAGACAACTGCACACAAAAAGGGCAAACTGAAAGACCCTTACAAATTACCTAAAAGAAACCACAAAAGAGCCCATATGGTCAAACTACCAGAAAGATGTGGATGCTTCGGAGAGGGTAAAGAAAAAGGTTTACTAGGATATTGCCTGTGATGTGGGAATTTTAGCTATGAAGGAAGGTTGGATAGACTGGGTTTGCTTTTACTGAAACAGGTGGTTGGGGAGGTGGGGGGGGCGGGTTTATGTCAACTTGCATCCTACCTGCAGCACTTGGAGCTTTGGTGCAATGTTGCTGGCTTCAGTTTCTTTATTCAAAACTGCAGAACTTGAGTTCTCTTTAAGAATTTCTACTGACATCATCATCTTTGAATTGTTTCTCCACTGCTCATGTTGCCGAGGAAAGGGATGAAAGGACGGATCAAAACTAACACTTGTCTCACAATGGAGGAACAGTGAGCAGCTATCATATAAATGTATGATGTGGGCAGTATTTGAGCAGAAGTAGGCTGCTCAACTCTTTCAGTATATTCCCCCATTCTTTGTTTTGACAGCTGAATGGAGGTAAATACAAACTACTTGAACTGGAATTCCCAAACTTACCTATCATCACAAACTGAGAATCTGGTGTGAATGATGCTTCCAAACTAATACCTTTGTTGTTGTTGTATCCCTAAAACAAAATAACATGATTCAGCACAAAGTCAGTGTTCTGTTAACTGAGAAATTAATGAACAGGGTATTAGTTTTAAAATTGTGCAATCCTTTTCACAGCAGCACTGGGAATTAGGCTACATTTTGCAGTACTGCTTCTTTCCCACCTGGGGAGGTAGTAGCATATTGGACGAGTAATCCAGAACCCTCAACCATGGGTTTGAAACCCATCATGCCGATGTTGAAATTTGAATTCAATCAAAATCTAGAATCAGAAGGTAAAGACCATTGTTGTAAAAACCCAACTGATTTACTAATGTCCAAGAAAATTTTACATCATTTCCTGGTCTGGCCTTCATGTAACTCCAGACCTATGCAGACAATGCAGCCGACTCTTAAATGTGCGCTCAGCAATTCAGGACGGGCAATAAATAAGTCATGCCCGCATCCCAGTTACAACTGCTGTTTTCCTAAGTACAGGCAAAGTGAACGAGCACTACGTTGTTTTCACACATCCGTCTTAAATAGTACCACTGAAATTCTTGCAGTCCAAGAGGAAAAGAATAACCATCTGGGTAACTCCAGATCAATTCAGTTAATGGTAATTCTTGCAAAAAAGTCTTACAAGTGCCTAAAACTGGTGAGTACTTAGAAGTGCACTTATGAGGACAGCCAAATATTTGGGACACATATAGTACTGGACACAAAGTTAACAATTATTTTTAAAGAAAATGCCCAATCGGAGACAGAATGTTTGAAAAAAAAAAATGAAATCACTTTAGTGCTGGTTCATTACAAAAGGTCCCGCTTACGGTGTGAAAGAATTGTAGCAGCATCACAGATAGGGAATGAAGTGGTACATTTAATGGGCTTTGCTCAAGTTGAGGGTGATCTGAAAGAGATGCATCTCAGGATCAGTGTATTTGCCAAGAGCTGTAGTGGATCAAGCAACGATATGAATTTTGGCACGAAGAACAGGATTTGAAATTTGCTGATGAGACAAAATTAGGGGGTCAAGCTGGAATGTAAAGTGCTTAAGAGGTTAGATGGTAATGCAAACGGTAGAGGAGTGACCAATTTAATGCAGACAAAAGGGGCACCAAGATATTTCAGGCAAAACAGGGATTACAGTTAAAACTTGAGGATGCACAGAACTGTAGCAGGTCAAGTGCAGAAAGCCCTGACTGTACTAGTAAAGCTGCAAAGAAAAAGCCAATAATAATGAGTTTCATAAAATGGGTGTGGATAAGACTGCACTGTAGATTTGTTAGGTAGTACAAAAGCAACAAGGATTTGAGAAACTAGGATATGTTTACTGAAATAAAAAGGTCCAGACAACATTTCAGGTTTTTTGTTTTAAAAAATATGAAGTGCTTTTATCCAGTAAAAGGGGAAAGACTATTTACTCTGGAGAGTCAGTGACAAGTGGTCATCAGTAGGAAAAGTTTACATTTCTCCTAGACTCATAGGGCACAAATGCCTTATTACAGGATTGAGGCAGATACCAGCACATTTTTTTTTTTTTTTTTAAAAAAAAGGGAATACAGATAAATATCAAAAAGCAGAAGAAACAAGGGACTATGGGGTCAGAACAGAGCAATGAGTTTGCTGTAAGCAAACTAATTATATACACATTTGGCTTCCTCATTGTGTTGTAAGTTTCTTGGATTCTAATGGTCTGTTGTTGATGCCCACATTACATGATAACTACCTTTGCTGAAAACAAAAATCAACCTTTAACGCAAAAACTTCCAAGTGCTTATAAAAATTCCACCTACCCCAAATGTCTGAAGTACTGCTCCTTTAAATGCATCGATGAGTCTGACCATACCACCATTGGTAGACACCAGCATCAGTTTTCCATCATTACTGAATTTCAATCCTGTCCACTCGCATGTCCGCTCATACTGCATTTTAAAAGTGGCAAAAGGACCCTGACAAAACAAGTAGGAAACTACTTTCACTTTTTGGATAATCTTAACTCTTATTGGATAAAAACTTCACAATGTATTTAATTTTCTGTAACTCCCAAGTTCACTACATTGCATCTCCTTCCCAGCTCAAGTAAAGGTTACCTAAATTACAGGTTCAGGTGATGTCACTGACAAATGTGCAATGATTCAATGAGATTAATATGCATGGTGCAGCATATTCTATCAGCTTTTCTTCACTGTCTCCCATGCTAAACACCATAGATGTAACGAGAAAATAACTCCACAGTCCACAACTGCCAGTATAGCAACGTCGTGCACAAATAATCTGCTGCCAATTGTGTTTCTCAGGTAGAGTGGCACAGGTGCAGTGATTGAAAGGAGATGCAATTTTTACAGCAAAAACTAAACTTAGTACAAAGTATCGCCATTTTTAAATTACACAGGTCTGCAGTAATATCATGGTGTCTTTTTGTATGTCTACCAGAGACTGAAAGCTAACTGGATTTCTCAAGAGGAGAACTGAAATGTCTCTATTGCCATAGAGCCCAAATGAGGACCTCATTCAATCAAAAACATGAAAGCATTTTACTCTTCCAAAAGCAGTTTTCAGCACTTTCCTCTCAAAAGGTAGCAGTGTCTCTGAGAGAAGGTGCTATGCAACAGTGATACTGCCCAAAACCTTATCTCTGTTAAACTATTTCCCAAAGTTGTACTGAAGCAATGTGCTTCCAAGCTGGTGTCAAGAGTATCACAGAAGTTACCTTAGTCTACCTGTAAGAAAATACAACACCAAGCATTATCTGTCTCTGCAGGAGATCAATCACATACATTTGAATTTAATGCTCTCGGATTGTATAGCAAGTTAAATGAGGAGATTCCACCTTGTCAAACGATCGTAGATCATAAAGTTTAATTATTTCAGAATTCACACCAGCTGCAAATATAAGTCCTTCAGGATCGAAAGAACACGTTGGCCTCCCTTGAAGATGCATTAATCCCTGGACAAATAATGAAAACAGCAATGAGTACCAGCAATGAGTACCAGCAAGTAACAAGACTGACAGAAAAAAGTTGTGACTAAATGTTGTGCTTTTATACTTCTCATTAAAAAGGTGAAAATATCCATAAATTTTATATCATCTTCACCGTTCTATTGTTTTGTTTTCACATCTGTGTCAAGATGGATCTGCTGCCAGGCCTCTGAGGGGGAGCTCCAAGTGATTCTTTGTCTGCTTGATAAAGCAGATGTCTTTTGCTCACTACCTCTCCCAATGCAGTATCACCAAGCATGCTAACTGTGTAGAACTGCAGGATCACACAACCGTACTATTCAGTCCAACTTACTCTAAATGATTTTACCTTTCTACCAAGTAAGAAAATTCCAAGGGCCAGACCCACCATGTGATTTAACTATAAAAAAATTAAATATAGCATAATAAAGGAAAAAGCATATAACTGTGCAAATACAGGTGACAGGTCAGAAGAGTGGACAAAACAAAGTTAAAGGTTAACTAAAAATGAGGAAAAATTGAGAGTACAAAAGAAAGCTAGCTAAAACTTTAGAAGGCTAAGTTCCTATAGCTTCTAAAAAAAAAAAAAGAGGGGATGTTGGTCCTATAGAAAAAGTGAGCCGACAAAGAATGAAATGGCAGATGAATTGAACAGGTACTTTGCACCAGTCTTCCCTTTAGGACACAAGTCATATCCCAGAAGTAGCTGTAAAATCATTAAATGGAAAGGATGCAGGAGCTTAAGAAGTGAGGAAAATTACAATCAAAGTGGTATCAAGTAAATTGAGAGAACTGCAGGCTGTTATGTGCCCAGGTCCAGATAAACTTAATCCTAGGGTGTTAAAGTAAATGACAAGAAAGATAGGTGATGCAGTAATTTTAATTTTCCATAAGTCCCTTGATTTGGGGAAGATCCCATTAAACTGGAAGATTATAAAACCATAAGATACAGAAGTAGGTCAGTCACCTCATCGAGTTTGACTAAGGATTCAATTAAATTATGGTTGATCCAAGAATCCTCAAATCCATTTTTCTACCTTATCTCTATAATCCTCAATCCCCTTAATGGTTTGAAATCTTCATCTCTCTACCTTGAATATACTTAACAACCCAGCCTTGATAGTCCTTTCGTGGCAAAGAATCCCACAGATTCACTACCTTCAAAAGAAATTCCATCTCATTCTTGGCAACCCCTTACTCAGATTATGCCCACTGATCCTAGACTTTCCCACAACGGGAAAACAGTCTCTCCGCATCTAGTCATTCAAGCACCCTAAAAAACTCATGTTTCAATAAGATCTCATTTCATTCTTCAACTCCAATGTGTACAAGCCCAATCTACTCAATCCCTCTAGGATCAACCTAGAGACACTTCTTGTGAGCACCTCCAGTATATCTTCAGAGACCAAACTGAAGTTAACAAACTTAACTCAATTAAAAAACGACAGAAAGCAAGAAACTACAGGCAAGTTAGCTTAATGTCTGTCACAGGGAAAATGTTTGAAGCTATGAAAGTCATTTAGTGGGAGATGCAGAAAAATTCAAGGAAAGTCAGTCAGTCAGTCAACATGGTTTTGTGAATAGGAAATCATATTTAACCAATTAGCTACACTTTTCTGAGGAAGGGATATGCGTTGGATGTACTGCACTTGGATTTCTGGAAGGCCTTAATAAAGAACTGCAAAGATTACTGTGGAAAATATAAGCTCAGTGTAGGGGTATCATTTCAGCGTAGATAGAAAATTGGCTGGCTAAGAGGAAGCAATCAGTAGGTACAACTGGGATTTTATACAACAATATGACAGTTACGTAAAAGTGGTCTGCAATAAAGATCAGCACCAGGACCTCGTTGTACTTGTATCAATGACTTGCATGAATGGATTGTATGAATTGCCTAAACTTCTGATGACAGAAAGATGAGTAGGCAATCATGTTGAAAAGTGGACACAAGAAAACTAGAAAAAAGTTAAACGAGTGGGCAAAAATGCAGCAAATGGAGTATAAAGTTTAATTTTGGTAGGGATAAAAGAGCAGGTTATTTAAATGGCAAGAGATTTCAAGGGTCTGAGTTACAGAGGAATTTGGATATCTCATGCATGAGTTCTAAAATAAGTCTGCAGGTAAAGCAAGCAATTATGAAAACCACCAGAATGTCATTGCTTACTGCAAGGAAATAGAAGGTTATGCTTCACTTATAAAAGACACAGGGTAAAACAGGGGTACAGATAGCATCGTTTGTTAGCAGGATTGAGAATCCCGCAGGGTGTGCGCTGCTATCCTGTGCCAAGTCAATGGACATCCTGAATTGACATGAAAGGATACTGGTGTGGGAGGGGGCAGGATATGATTGTTATGGTCCATGTTGGGACCAAAGGCAAGAGGTTCCTTTTTGGGGAATATCAGGAATTAGGAATAAAATTAAACAACAGGACCTCAAGGGTTGTAACTCAGGATTATGACCAAGCTATATGAAAATTGGCCAGAGTTAAGTAGGAAATAAACACTACAGGACTGGCGCAGGAAAGAGGAGTTCCATTTCATGGGGTGCTGGCATCAGTATTGGGACAGGAAGGAACTGTACCATAGGGATGGGCTCCACTTGAACAGATCTGGGTGTAAAGTCCTAGACAAAAGCCTAATCTGGTAAATTGGGAAGCAGGTTGGGAATGAGTGTAAGGAGTCAATACAGTTTAAAAATCAAGTAACAGGGCACAGAGTAAATAAACAGTCAGGAGTCCTACTTCATGATTGACTGAAATGGCAAAACTGTAAGAGGTGCATTGATTAAACTGGAGGAGAGAAATAATAAACAGTGAATAATGGCATCAGTGCTGAAGGACAGGTTAGTTTATGGCCCAAGTAAGAGTTCTATACACGAATGCACAGAGAACAAGGAATAAATTAAATGAGCTACAGGCACTAATTCAAACCAGAGATTATGATACAGTAGTTATCGAGACATGGCTGCAGGACAGTTAGAATTGGGAACCAAATGTATCAGGTTTTAAAGGTTTACAGGATAGACAGGGAAAACAGCAGAAGTGGAGGAGTAGCCTTACTGGTTAGAAACAAAATTACTTCATGGATGAGGGGCAATAAGTGAAAAGCAGTGGGGATTATATGGTTGGAATTGAGGAACTGCAAAGGATCAAAATTGTAACAGGTGTAGTGTACAAACCCCCAGCATTAGCTCTGAACTGCAAGACTGCCTAATTTCTGTACTTATACAAGCAGGTGGCAAAGCCACAGTAGTGTTAATGGGGGATTTTAACCTTAACATAGGTACTTGTTTGCTTCTCATAATTTATCAGAAAGGTCGTTAACTTCTGGAGCATGTCCAGGATAGCTTTCTACAGCAATGTGTCCTAGATGCAACAAGGTAACAAACAATATTTGATTTAGGAATGAATAATAAGCCAGATTTAAGAGTAACCTAATTGTGCATGAACATATAACTGAGTTCAATGTAGTTCATGAAATGAAAGGCATAAAATCAAAGCTACTCAAATTTTAGATTTAGGCAAGGCTGACTTTAACAAGACCAGACAGAGACTGTACACAGTGAAAGGGGAAATCTGATAATGGATGAAGCAACTGAGCAGTGGAGGATGTTTGAAGAAGCATTTAGTGATATAAAATCAGTTTACAGCCCAGAGACAGAAAAGCTACACTTGACAGAAATTAACCATAGACAACATACAACTAAAAAGGCTTACAAAATGCAAGAAAAATAAAAAAAACCATACAGCACAGATCCTGCTGAATGGGAAAAGATAAAGACTAGCAAAGGGTCACACTGCAATTTGTAAGAGCTACTATGGGACATTATGAAAAAGAAACTTGCCAGGGCATCAAAATCAATAAGCAAAAATTTTATGTTATTATAAAGGGAAAGTGGGTGGTCGGGGGCAACGTTGGCCCACTAAAGACTGAAAAATAGGGATACTGTCTAATGAGTGACAAAATGGCAAACATGAAGAATAATTACTTTGCCTCAGTATTTACAGGAGAAGAGGACAGCTTGCTGGAAGTCCCGAGGAAATTAATAGTGGATCAGGAACAGGGACTGAATGAAATTTAAGTTAAACATCACTGATGAGAAAATAGAGTCAAAATCCCCAGGACCTGGTGGTTTCCACCCAAACATGTTAAAAGGAAGCAGGGGAGCACATTGTAGGTGATATAATCTTCAGAGTTTTTTTTAGATACAAGAGTTGTCCTTCTGGATTGGAAAATTGCACGTCACTCCACTTTTTCAGAAACGTGAAAGAGGAAAACCAGGGAATTACAGACCAGTTAGCCTAACTTCCGTGGTGGGGAAATCATTGAAGTGAGCAATCAAGGACGGGTAACTTATCACCTAGAAAATTTTAGTTGATCAGAGACAGCCAGCATGAATTCTCGATAAGTAGGTCATGCCTGAAAAACCTCACTTTTTTTTTTTAAAAAAGATTAAAGCCAAAATAATTTTAAGGTGAAAGCCAAAAAGCAAATCAATGTTACTAATTTAGTGCTATGGCAAACCTATGAAATGTTCATACAAATTCGTTTTCTATAGGCACTACTCATTTGAATGTTTATTTAATAATGACAGAAGCACACCACCTAATGCGAAAGGCATTACATAACAACAAAGAACGGGCTTCAGTCATTATAGCCTTCTTGGTAGGACAGAACTGGAGCACTGTTGAAAAAAAAAAGACACTGGCGAAGCTTTTCATCTTGCACTATGGATATTTTGTAGATTGACAGTTAACAGCAGGTTTTGTTAAAATTTAAATCAGACAGGCTGACTGATTGCTCAATGTCCTGACCAATGAACCAGCAAATGGCTGTCTTCCATTTTGTTGTGATGAAACAGGTGCAGTGTGTTCTTTCTCTCCGCAAACAGGGCCCTATTTATTAATATGTAGTTTCCAGTATACGCAAGTGCACTACATGGTGAAACCAACTGAGTCCTAAATTGATTATCAGCACAATTCCTCCTATATGCAAGATTATTCAGCAAATGTTATCTAACTGCAGAATCACATTTAATTTTAGACACTGGAGTTTTGCAAGCACAGGATGGAAGGGTAGGTCAGTACCTTACTTGTTCCAAACAGGCAAATACATGCTACTTCATATGATCCGTCAGTCTTTAGGACATACAGCCTACATAACTGGCATCACAACCACTATGAAATTCACATGCCCCCCACATTAGTTATTTGTATGGTAGGCAGAATGCCTTTTGGTTTGATGGCAGAGTCCTGTTTGTACCAAACATTACACAGGTTGCTACTGCATAGCAGTAGCATAAAATAGCGAGCTTCACATTTTGCTCAAACCTTTGAAATACCTTACCCTTCCAGGGTTACCACAGGTAGGCTGGGCCGCAGAGCTACAGCTTAGCGTGCTTTTAGACTGTAGGCACATACATGAAGAAGAGGCTACATACACAGTGGGGCTGATTGCTCGGTCTGAGAGATCATACAACCGCCAATAGGATTCATTTGATCATAATCATTACTACAGCAACAAGCCTATTGGACATGTCAGACTCCTGCTCATTGACTATAGCTCCGCCTTCAAAACTATTATTCCCTCCAGAGTGATCTCAAAATTCCAAGACCTAGATCTCAGCTCCACCCTCTGCAACTGGATCCTCAGCTTCCTGACCCACAGACTGCAGGGAAGACAAGACAACTGCACCTCCTCCATGATAACAACACAGGAGCGCCTCCAGGGATGCGTCCTTAAGCCCCTACTGTGCTTTCTGCACACCCATGGCTATGTAGCCAAATTCCAAACAAATGCCATCTACAAGTATGCTCACGACACCACTGTGGTAGGACGGATATCAAACAACAAAGAGTCAGAATACAGGAAGGAGGTAGAGGGCTTGGTGACGTGGTATAATGATAACAACCTCTCAATGTCAGCAGAACTAAAGAAGTGATCAATGGCTTCAAAAAGAAAGAAGAGCATACGCCCCCATCCACATCAACGGAGCAAAAGTTGAGTGTGTCAAGTTCCTAGGAGTGACGATAACCGACAACCTGTCCTGGGCTTCCCACTTAGACATGACAGTCAGGAAATTACAACGAAGTTCTTCCTCAGGCGGCTCAGGAAATTTGGCATGTCCGTAAGGACCCTCACCAAATTTTACAGATGCATTATAGAAAGCATGCTGTCCAGGTGCATCGTAATTGCTCTGCCCAGGACCTTAATAAACTACAGTAGGTGGTGTGCACAGCCCAGACCATCACAGAAGCCAACTTCCCATCCATGGACTCCATTTATATCTCTCATTGCCATGGAAAGGCTGCCAACATCAAAGACTCATCCACCCGGTAATGTTCTTCTACAAACTCTTCCGTTAGGCAGAAGATACAGAAGCTTGAACACACACCAGCAGGTTCAAGAACAGCTTCCTCCCTGCCATTTAGATTGACGACTGGACTCTCTAACTTCAAATACTACCTTCAAATAATGTTGATCTCGTTAAATTTAGTTCTTGCCTCATGCACGTCCTGTGCATTGTAACCTGTATGCCTCATTCTGTCCAAGTTTTTTTCACCCTATGAGCTGTATGTTCTTGCTTACTATGATATGCCTGTATGCTCACAGACAAAGCTTTTCACTGTAATTAGGTACATGTGACAATAAATCAAATCATATTGTCTTTCTCAGTATGTCATTTCAGTGTGTTTGGATTAAAGATATTTACTGTATCTAGGTGGAAGGTATGTTAACTTTATTTTACAAATTCAAATCGTCATTATATGCTTGACTTTTATATTGCTACCAAAAGCTGAGATGATATGGAGGATGCATTTTTATTACTGCATGGGTTCAAATAGTTCAGTTGATCACCTAAGCAGACATTTTGAACTTGACAGGAACAAACACTCCAGCGTGATGCAGTGTTCCAACTGAAGATAGTGTGTTCTGGTTGAACTCATGTAATGGACCAATTTTTTATATCAGACTTTTACACAAAAAGGGGTTCAGTCATAAACTAGTAATACTTCCAATAGGTCAGAGCCCTAAAATCCATGCATGTTCTTCATCATGGCAAAGCACTGGGCATTGGGACTTTTGCTTTAGCATTATTTTTTGTTGGGCCAACATTGTTTGTACAACCCGAGTGGCACCATTTTGAAACAGTCTCTACCACTTACTGCTCCCCTGCCCAACGTCCACTGCCGCCTTGCACTGCAACACGCTTGGAAGCAGCCAATAAGCAACACTGAGTAGGGAAGGGAAGAGTTGGCCTTTGAGAGGGATGGTGAACAGTGACATGTAAAGAGAGTTCAGATTAATTGTGGCAAACTTTTATACAAGATCGACTATTACATGAGTGTATATGGTAATCCAACTGGTCAACACTGTCCTCAGACGCCACCTCCGTCATTACAATCTCGATTATGGGATGTGAGTGATTCTCCAGATTTCAACTTCTACAAACCTTTTCAATTTCAGGGCTTTCTTGCTAATCCTTGAAAACATTATTTACTATGCCCCCTCAGAAGACACCATTCTAATACTGTAATATTTCTTATCAATGCTATATCAGTGTTATCGCTCTTGGATAAATTTGCTTTCTTCCCTTACTGGGTTGAGGTTAAATTATAGTTGAGTATCAAAATAAACTTTGAATGCAAGAAATCTGAAGTAAAAGCAGAAAATGCTAAAAAAAATCCATAGATAAATACAGAAGAAATAGTTGTGTAACATATAATGCAACACTTCACAAAGAAGCTCCCAACTTGAACCTTTTTCCTGTCAGATGCAGTGGCTGATCATTTCTATATTGCATTTGTCTTCTAAGAACTGCACTTTCTGGGGACCACGTTTGACAGGAATTCATTTGCCTAATCACCAGAGTTGGTCCTTTTGAGAATATGCAGGAATCCTGAATTACAAAATTAAAGTACAGTACTACAAATCAACACTGATAAAAGTGAATGGAGAAAGTGGAAGTTCTTGTCCAATCTCCTGGTTTATTTTTAAATTTGCCTGAAGGAATTTTCAACCACAAGCCTTTGTAAAGATTTGGAAGTTAACACTGGCTTCTTTCCTTGAGTTAACAGATTCTTGCTATTCAAAATAATTGATGAAAGAGCCCTTGATATAGTACCATGCAATTTCCTAATTCTATATAATGAGGCATTTTTGATGCCTAAAAGCAACTACTACAGACGCTGGAACTAAAACAGAATTCTGGAGAAACTCAACAAGGCCTGGCAGCATCTGCAGAGAGAGAAACCAAGTTAACATCGAATCTGGTATCACCCTTCTTCAGAAGACACGAAACATTAACTTTTTAACTGCACCTGCTTTGAAGTCTGCACTGCCCTCAAATTTCGGCCCAAATTACGCTCTCAAATCCTGGAGCCAAATTTGAAGCAATTAGCTCCTGACTCAGAGATAAGGGTTTAAACACAAGCTGTCTCTGCAAATTCATAGTTACTGCTCTCTCCGTAAAGCTTACAGTTGTTGCGATACAGTTAGTTAAAACATACCTGGCAATTGGGTGACCTGAGGTCCCAGAGTCTAATTGTTTTATCCAAGGAACTGGACATGAAAGTATCATCCACAGGAGACATACATAATGCTACAACTCTAAACAAAGGAAAACAAGTACAATGTAAGGAGCTTCAAAATACATTTTCACATCTCTATACAGTGCAACATGACATTTGCTTAAGTACAAAATTTCTCAAAGTATCGACCATCCTTGTAGAGTCATGAAACAATCACATACTTACCTTCTAAATGATTATGTTGCAGCTGAAATTTTTTTTTTTGGCGGGGGGGGCGCATTTTTTGCAGTAAGATGATGAACACTATTGCTCCATATTGGTATTCAGCAACCACTGATCAAAATACAGATGCATGGATGTTAAGGCACATCAGAGGAGCAGGGAAGTTGACGTTTCGGGTCAGGACCCTTCTTCAGAAAAAGGGTCCTGACCTGAACCGTCAACTTTCCTGCTCCTCTGATGCTGCCTGGCCAGCTGTGTTCCTCCAGCTCCACACTGTTACATCTGACTCCA